TTTAGGGTAATTGGATAGCAAGAAAAGATACAATACTGTACAATCACAGTGAAATAAAAAATAATTTTATTCATTGATGAGAGTACTGCTTAAATACCATATCCTTCCATTGACTTTAAGAACAGCTGTAAGTACATTTTGCTCCTACATACATATCTGTAAATATGTGTTAGAACTGGCTAGCACAAACAATACTAACAAAAATAATGTTAATTTTTTGTTATATTGCTATAAAAAAATATATTTAAGAGGTCAGACCCTGCTTTGTACATGTAATACAGAACAAAAACTACTAAATCATAGATGTTTCCAATAAAAACATAAAACCATACTATATTTCCTGTAAAATAAACTGAATTCCCCAGCTACAAACATATATTTAGTATTTCATTACAATGAAATTGAAATTTTATAAAAATATTTTTTCTGGAAGTGCAATATTGTTAAATAATTTGTTTTTTTCAAATTGTTTATTTTTTGCAGAGAAGCAGGTTTTTGGTTTTTTTTCTAATAAAGCTGAATAAGATTCTAGATTGCTGTTCCATAAGAAGATATTGCATGAGAAGAATTACATTAGGGGTTTTATTTCCTTCTTGTACTCAAAGTACCATAGTACCACAGACTTGGAAAGGACAGCCAGAGATCTAGCCCAACCTGCTTTAGCACAATCAATGTACTTTAACAAATAAAAGCTGTCTAATCTGTTAAAAATATAGAGATAAAATATATTCCAGTAGCAAATTTAACAAAAGAAACAAACTCTACCTTTACTTATATTGATGTTAGCAGCAAAATTACTCCATAACACCAGTCTTTATTGAACAGAACTGACTGATGCTGTGAGTCAGTGACTCAACTAATTCTCAAAAGAATGTGAAAACATGAAAGGCTAACTGTTACAGTTAACAATTATAGAAGAACAAATACTACTTTCCAGTAATAGGAGACTGCAACCTAGGAATACTAAATTTTAATCCTTGTGATCTTGTCACTTAGTCTTTAGCTCTTTTATTTCATTTTAAAATAATTATGAAGTATTTGATATGGATAATTACTTAACATTTCTAGAATGAGATAACTTGATGTCACTGGATGAAAAGTGTGTTTCTTTTTGGTAAAACTTCGTACTGTAGTGTGCCTTTGTTCATATTAATTCTAGTCTAAAATATATTTTAGGATTATGTAAGATACTCCTTTTACTTCCATACAGAAAAAGAATTTAATTCTTAATTAAAAGTTTAAAAAAACGTCCCTGAAAAAAAGCAAACTATTTTTTTCTCTCTTTATTTATCCTATTATCTTTTTGGCTTCTCACGCTGACATAATACAGACAAAAGGAACTCAGTTGCCAACAAATAGTCAAACGTGTTCTCTGTTTGATGAATACACAAAACTTTCCTGAAGGTTAATGGGAGATAGGTGCACAAACTGAGGGTAGAATGTAGCCTGCCATATAACATAACTGAAAATAGTTCGTTTTGGCTGATCTCTTGGCAGTTTTCATACTCTCTCTTAAAACCATTAGAACTAGCGCAGGTTTGGTGCATTACAGGTTTCTGTAAGAAGCTCCCATTATCTCCTTTCTTAACCACATAATAGAACAAAATGAGAGTACCATACACAGACCACACCAAGGAACAACTTGCCTTGGAATTTTTCAACTGGTAAACCTATTTTCTATAATGCTTAGTAGTGAATCACTCTTAAGTGCTGGACCATTCACTGGTGTATGTGTTTTGTGCCAAAGGTTACCAGATTGCAAAACTGTTCTCATCTCAGAAAGGACCCATCATTTTCCATCACCTTATTTAGAGACAACAGGGAAAAAAAAGTGTCCATCTAGCAGAAACAGGAAGGAGGGGAGAAAGACAGGGAGAAACATGTACTAGCAATGCAGCAGATTTTCTTAGCACAGATTACTAAATGATACTAGAAAAGGTGTATATTTATACATGGGATTATGTATCTTTATAATATGGGACATTATGACCTTCCTAATTATTTCAATTCCAGTAAGTCTGTAAGATGGACTTTTAATTTTCCTGAAATAGGAGGAAAAAAGGTCCATACATTATTGTAAGACATACTAGAAAACTCTGGAAAATAAATTAAAAGATGACATCTGCTTGTGGAAGTTCATTACTATCATCTTCATATTTGTAGCAGGACGCTACAGTATTTCTATCTCTGAAGAAAAATGTGACCCCTTGTCTTGCACACCATACAATTTTCTTTGACAGTTTCACTTACAGATTTTCTGAACGGTAACACACACACTCTTACAAAATGCATGGGGGTTATTCAATGGTCAGAAGCCATCTAGCCAACAGGCAGGTTTTTTCCAACTTTTCTTAAGGTATAGTATGAACCCTGACTCACATGGAAGACTAGAGGAGTAAGTAACCAACTCTGATTACTGTGGCAATTGAGGTTCTCCTGGGAGAAATGCAGGCAAAGCACCCACCAGCCCATTCTGCCGATGATACATCACAGGATTGCAGCCTGACAGAGCCCGACTGCAAACACAATCTTCTTCCAGTCCTCATCTCCAGGAGTTCAGATGTACTCACCAGACATAAATGTTTGTAGATCCGGCGATTTTAAAGAAATTTGAATGACTGTAACATCTGCTCCGGTGTCAATCAAAAAGGGAACACTAACGGTGATGTCATTTAAGGTATTGCAGAGGGAACAGATCCCCCAAACCACTGGCGGGTTATCACATTTTACTGCCAGGGCCACCCTGGGGTCTCGCCCCCAGGGGGTGGTTCTTGCTGTTCCTGAGGCAGGGGCAGGTTTGGCTGGATTGTCGGTTGGGCCATAAAGTTGTTTGCTTCCCGAGGGTGCTGCGGGTTCGGGTGCGTTCCACCCCGTCCGCGGCTGGTGTGGTCGGTTTATAGATCTGCATTCCCTGGCGAGATGTCCCTTCTTTCCACAAGCCAATTCGTAATAGCAGGAACTTTAACTCTCTCTGGAGCCGAGTTACTGCCTCTAGGCTTCGCTTCACAGCCCTGTGAACACGCGTCCCTTGAACTATTCGAGTTCTCCAGGTTAACTCTCTTCGGCGCTGCTTTCCAAGGCCAGCGGTCTGAAGAATCAAGGCCCGCACGGCCGGGGATCCCGGGGATCCCGGGGATCCCG